AATTTAGACCCCATAATTTTATCTGTATAGTTGGGATTATGTTTTCCAATGTGCATTACTTTGCATTTATCAACCTTGAATTTCATCTGCCATTTTGTTGCCCAGTCACCCAGTTTTGTGAGATCCTTTTGTAGTTCTTCGCAGTCTGCTTGGGACTTAACTATCTTGAGTAGGAGAAAACCCAGCTCTCCCTCCAAGATAGTTGGCCTATTTCTATGCAGCAGCCTTTACCCTCTGGGGCTGGTAGCAGTTCAAAATTAACTAGAATTGCAATCTCAATCCTAGACAGTTTCATGCTGACCTCCCAATCCCCCCTAGGCCAGGGAAAAGGGGAGCCCAGATCCATGCTGCACAGGAGAAAAGAAGGTCATGAGCTTAATAAATTCTTAGGAAGTTTCTCTCTCTCTCATTGGATTCAAGCAATTAAATGGGAGCAACTTAGAAAATAAGGGATTCCCTGGAGAATTTAATGGAATTAACCCCCCTGACTTATATTTGGATGATTTTGTATATAATAATGTAATTAAAAGTGGGGACACATTGCAAATCAAGATTAGGAAATCCCATGCTGAAGGGGCACCGTACGCCTGAGAATCAGCACAATGGAGATTTTTGCCAGTGTTATGAACACCACCATGGATTAAAATTTAAGGGACAGATCCTCAGTTGGGGTATCTCGGCATAGCTCCACTGAAGTAAATGCAGCAGTGCTGATTTACACCAGCTGAAGATCTGGCCCAATTTTTTTCCTATCTCCCATTTCTGTTTATTTACTTCTTGCATTTCACTAGCCTGGACCATGAAAACGAACTAGTCACCCTTATCCACCGCTTCTCATGCTCTAACCCAATGCTGCAATGATTGGGTTGCAAATGCTGCAGAGAGAAGTGCTGAAATTCCAACAAACAACAAATCCTGTTCTCACTGAAAGTCTTTCCAACTAATTTCATTAAAACATTTCCAGGTATTAATCAAAATGGGTTGATTTTTTTTAAAAACAAAAATAATTTGGGGGTCTCAGCTACCCTGCAGCACTGTTAATGCCAACAAATCCCTGAAACATGGGGCAACTGAGGTGCTGGGAAATTCTTAGAGTAGCACCAACACACCTGTGCAATTCACCCTAGAAGATCTATCGGTCAAATTAGAACATACACTCCGTCTCCTTTAGCTAGACCAATTGCTACCTACAGGATGTACATCTCAGACTGTTACATTCAGGAACCATGAGTTTTGCACAAACTTCTCCACTTCAGTAACCGCCGACCTTGTAGGAGAGCCTTGGTGAAAAGAAGGCACATCCACTAAGCTCTCAGTGGCACAGAAGGAGGCAGAGAATCCAGGGCAGGTTCACTATGCTCTTAAATTATCATTCCAGATTTCAGCTATTTGATTAGGGAGAGACTCAGCATGAGATTGTATTGGCAGGAATCATTACCCCTTATTCTGCATCTCCACTGAAATGCAAAAAATGAGCCTCAGTACTTATCTAAAGTGCCAAAGGGCTTTCCCAAATCAGAGCTGAGGGGGGCTGCTTAGGATTGGATTTAAGAGGACAGACTGTTTATTGCCCATTTCCGCGGTGTGTTTTCACACAACCACACTGGTGAAAAACAAAGCGATGGCACTGCATGAGGCTGACATCTTCCTCCTCCTCCTGGCTTTTTAGTTGATAACTTCAACAGTCTCTCATCTGGGAACAATGGGCCAGGATTCATGCTTGGCAGAAGCAAACCCTTTCATCTTCCTAAACTGGCTTTGATTTGGCCCAAACCTCTCACTCACTCTCTTTGAAGTGCTATCTGTGACTGTGGAAGATATGGCTAAGTGCTGACCCTCCTTACAAATACGGCATTCCCACTGTGAGAGCTGGGCATGGTGGCACTCATAATCCCCTTCCAAGGGGAAAACTAGCACAAAGCTCTCATTGGCTGTACGATCACTGATTGACTGAGCAGAGCAGAAGGCACTGACTCCCACACTGACTAATGAGAACATGTGCACTTTCTCTTTGGCTAGCACCTCTCGTTTGCTGTTAGGCAGATGGTAACACGCAATGCAGCTTCTGATGAGAGGCTAGGGAGCAGTAATCCTTCGGTATAGACCTGGCCAGCCTGCCACCAGCATCGGCAAGATTTTAACAGCAGATATTGTAGAAGACGACATTATTTTTACATACTGTGCAGCTGAGAATCTTGTATGGGAAACCTTCTTTTATGCATTAACATAAGACACTCAGCTAATGTTTCCTGGGCATGTGTGTAAGAAAACAGCCTGGTTAGTGAGAGTGTCCATCTGGAAACCTAATAGGAAACAGGACTGTAATGTCTCTGCACTGAAATGGTGAAGCCTGAACATACACTGACATATACCAGATCAAAACAAACTTTTCTGCACCCTAATCACTGTCGTGCAAGACGGACAAAAGACAGTGGGCTGAAATATAGCTAGCAGCATGCCCCGACTGCACAGATATTTCCTCTTGTATCATTCAAAAAGAGATGATCCTGTTCTCCAACACAGGAGTGATAAATACTCAAGGGAAGCTAAACAAAAGGTATTCCAAATCAATAGGAGACCACTCATTACACCAACCCCTCCCTTGGGCTATCTCTGCTAGCTAAGTTCTTCTGTAACAGAGATAGGCGAGCATTTTAGGACGTGACTGCAGGGCAGTGTAGACATGCCCTTAGTCTATCATGGCCACAGAATTCACCTGGGTTAGTTGTTTCCCCATTAGTGCCTGGGGAAAACTGACAAAGCCGACTCTCTCTCTCATGTCGAACATATGCAATCATTCTTCCGCAAAACAGCAGACTCGCCAGCCATGGGAATCTTATTCTAAAAGACCTCAGCATTGGCAACTTCAGTGTTCACTGGCTGCCATTCCTGCTCCCATGGTCTGTACACTAGATGGTGAATTCCTTGAGACGGGGACGTACGGTAAAATGTTCAAAAGTGCCAAAGTGACTTAGGTGCCTAAATCCCATTTCCAAAACCAACCTAGGCACTTTGGGATGGATTTTCAAAAGTACGTAGGCGCCGAACTCCCAGTTAAGCTCCCAAGTGCCTACAGGCCAATGCCTGTCACTTTTGATTTGGGCACTTTGAAAACAGCAATCTTTGTCCCAAAGTCAAGGCTTATCTGTTTCTCTGAGCTTTGCCAGCAGCAGGTGAGGAGGTGTGAGGAGGAGGGCAGAGAGAGAGATTTGGCCAGTCATTTCCTGGCCATTTTGGCCTGTTGAGTTTTGGAATGTCTGTATCATTAATCTGCACCTAACACATTGCATATGAGCTTTTAATAAACGAGAACCAATCACAGAAATACCTGCCTGAAAAGTGCCTAAACACACTGGAGATTTATACATAAAACAACAAACCCTGGAATGAGGGACTCTGCCATTACATCAGACATATGGTGGTAGTTTGAATCTTCGCATTTTCCTCCTATCTACATAAGAAACTATCTGAATATGCACCATAGTTCCTTAATATAGATCACTGGCTCAACAGCATCAAACAGGATATGTGAGTCTCAAAAATAGTTAGCAGTTTTGCAGCTGAGATCTCATTAGCTAAATTGGGCTAGACAGGCAGAGGAATATGGAAAGAGCGGGTTCCTCTGGGAGATTTCGATGTGATTTAGTCTTCTGTTTTCAGTCTCTATTCACTACACAAAAGTTCTTTCCCCCAGATGCAGGAAATCAAGACTCCAGATCCCATTGACCCTGGTCTCCCAAATACCTTTCCTGGATGGAAGCAAACCTGTGAATACTCTGGTCCAGTTGCCCCAGTGCAATATGGGTCTGATCCAAATCCCACTGAAGGCAATGGGATCTTTTCATTGACCTCACTGAGCTATAGACTAGGCCCTCTATTGAACCCAATAGAACTTATACCTTTCCTACAAGGCAGGGGGAAGCCTGGTTGTTTCTGATCTCTCAGGCAATGGATTATGCATCATCAATACACTGAAAAGAGGAGACTGATGACACAACACAAAGGGCTCATTACTGCAGGAATAGGCTGTGTGGCTGGTTCTAAGACGGTGTCTAGCTCAGTCTGTGTTTCTACCATGCACTCCCCATTCCCCTTGTCTTCACACTGACTCAGATCCGCTAAAGGGTTCAGGCCGCTAACCACTACAAGTGGCCTGTCGTTACAGAATTAGCCATGAGCACTATCTAATTTACTATTTGCCTAAAGGTAGCTCAGTGTTGGAGCTAGGTTCTCCCTTCTCAATCAGTTGCCTTTTATGTGACTCTCATAACAATGGACAGAGGTCCCCAAATCTCCATCTGTTATGATTTGCCCTAAGACAGCTAGTGGCAAATCAAGCCAGAATGGTTATTTACAAAGAAACTGCTAATTATTTTTGCCTTGAAAAACAAAATGATATCAGTATGTGATTCACGATACAGGCGAACACAAAGGCAACCAGGTGTTTGTGCCCTGAGTACGTGCAGCGGGAGTGTACGATACAGGGGGGCAAGAAAGAATTAACAGGCTCATTTTGGTCCATAGCATCTCAGAGAGATGCCTTTTCCCCCAGGATGGTTCTACCACCATGATGAGGACACTGAGCACACTGGAATCAGGCACCCATCTCCACCCACCACAGTGGAACCAAAGGGTGGACTGTTTCCTGGGAACTCCCGTGGAAAGGCTCCCCAGTTTGGTGTTTTGCTGCAATTCTCTGAAAGCCTCAGTAGCAGAAACAAAGGAGAGAGAAACACGGTGGGGCAGAGCTGCAACGAATGGGTATAGCTAGGCCAATTAACACCAGCCAGGTTTCTAATGATAAATACCAGGCTCACAGGTGCCTTGAGCAGCATGGCAGGGTCTTATAATAGACAGAGAGGAGGAATCGCCAGGATTTCAGTGTGCATCTGCATGACATCATCATGTCTTCTGGCTCAGCAGAGAACAGTGGGAGGCATGGCAGACATGAGCTGCTCTGAGCCATGTTACTGAGGCCCTGGCTTTGGGAGCTGTTGTACCTTCTCTTCATTGCTGATGTTCCGGGTGGAGGTTCTCCAGGTGATGGAGGGGATTGGGTCCCCAGAAGCCTCGCAGGTCAGCGTGATCTGGTCCTCCAGTTCCATGGCAGTTTTGTTCTCCACGTAAGTGATTTTGGGTTTTGCTGGAAAGGGAGCACAATGGGGTTTTTTGGCCACTGCTATGAAGCGAGGCTGCCTGGAATTAGCGAAGTCTGAACTGAAACTATCAATTAGACAAAAAGGCTTTTGCATTGCTACTTTCAGAGAGAATTGCTTCAGCAGGCAGAGAGGCAGCATGGTGTGCCCTCCCCTCCTCTGGTCCAGCCAGCCCTGGCTTCTAGTTTAGCAAAACTAAAAATGGGCCCAACTCAGCCCCTTGAGAAGTGCACCGAAGCCAGTCATTACATCAGGGCCACGGCTGTTTCAAGAAAGCTGGGAAGGAGACTAGAAAAGCTAAGGTGGTTCTTTGACAACCACCTTTATGCGACCTGGGTTTTTTTTACTCAGATCTCTGCCAAAAAAAAAGGTCTGCGATAAATGGCAACAAACAGCTGGAAGAAACTGACAACTTCACAAGGGCTAACATTAACGTTTTCCATAATGCAGCTAAGGGTGAAATTCACCCCAGTGCAGAGTTTTCAAAAGTTCCACTCAAATCCTAAAGGCTTGACTTAGTGCCCACAGAAATCAAAGGAAAAGTTTCCCATTGACTTTTGATTCAACCCTAAATGCTTGAAAAGCATTTGAGTGGCACGCAGTCTAGTGCTGACCCCCTGCAGGGAGCGTGAATTTCAGCCACAAGAGACAGGAAATGGCAGAGAGATGGTATTAGGGATTCCAGACAAGTGACGACCGGAATCTCTTGTCTGGTAGACGGCACAGTGCTGGCACACAGGCTGACACTGTCATTCAGCAAGCGCACCCAGTGTCTGAACCAGACATGCCTGCTGGGTAGGCAGGGCATGCGGCTTCCAGTTTATAGCAATGAGCGGCCACCGGCCAGCTGGGCTCTCTGACCAGTCTGTGGGGAGTGGGGGGTAGGGGCGGGAAGGAGCTATATCAAGTCTCTTATTGCCCTGTTTACCGAAGACTTTGAGGTGGATGATGGCATCCTGCTCTCCGGCCTTGTTCTCAGCCATGCAGGTGTACTCCGCCTCGTCGCTCTTCTCTACCTTCTTGATGGTCAGCTCAGAGCCATCGTAGTTGAAGTCGTATTTCTCGTCATCGTCCCCCCGTTCTATCAAGTCCCCGTCCCTGCAGGGCACAAAACAAGTAGGTTGGGTGGGAAGTTAACGCTGGCTGGTTTCTAGAACTCATCTGTATTTCTAAATCTAGCTCCTTTGTTTGGGAGGAAGGACAATTTCCCTGTGGTCCCACCAGTCTCACACTTGTTTTCCTCCTTCGGCTGCACCCTCACGACCCTTGCCTTGGGGTCCTGTGCCACGGAGTCCTTCACCTGTAAACATCCCTCATGCCAACCAGAGGGGGTTGCTTGAGACCCTGGCCCTCCACCCAGAACCCAGCCTGCTGCCCCACAGCAGCATTCGGAGCCACTGTCAGCCCCATCCCTAACCTTGGTTTCTCAATGCCATGTTGACCCTGGGATTGTCATGTAAAGCGTGTGAAGACCTGGGGGTGAGGGGTGCTGCCGCATATTGCCATTACTGCTGCTGCTATTGTTACTGGATAAAGACCGTTTGTAAAAGCATTACAATTCTCTGACTTTGGTATGAGAAACGGAGTCAATGATAGTCTAGCTAAAATGGTGCCATTCCCCCTGTGACGGGCTCTGCTCAATCAGAGGTGCAGATGGAAGCAGCACTGACGCAGAGTGCCTCAGTTAAAACATCCATGCTCTTAAACCATGTAAACTGTGCTTAGAGTATCTTACTTCATCCAGCTCATGGCTGGCTCAGGAAAGCCATCAGCATCGCACACTAAGGTGACAGACTGGCTGAGATTGGCGGTAGCATTCATGGTGTTCTGCCTGGCACGGACAGAAGGAGGCACTGGAAGAAAAAGAAGTTGAGTTAGAGAGAGGGGGAAAGAACAGGTGGGTAGAAAAGAACCAGGTAAGGAAGTTTCCTGCCCTCTGCCATACACACATAAATCAGTCCAGTGAATCACAACCTTCCTCCAAAGGGAGCACATCACCTGCAGGTTTGAACCTATACATTTGATGCACAAGGTCTCTCTATCAAATGGTGGGAGGAAGAGGACCCACATTGCACAGAAGATGGTCTGTTGGACCAAAACCATCCATGAATCAAATGAGGGCCATCTCTCACTTTGAGCCATGAGACATTCAAGCTTACTCCTGACAAGATAATTTCCTGTAAACATCTTGTAAATGCTGAATCGATTTCATGGGTCTGTTTATTTGACACAGCAGAGTGAGATTAATAAGCCTCATGGATCATGATTCTGTCAGCTCACGAGTGTGAACTGACGATCGTGTCTTTCCTTCCAAGACAAGGGTGCAACAGTTTATAACCCAGGTAGCACAGGTCCCCTCCACTGCCAGGGCTCCAAGCTGCTCACCATTCACGACGACCTGAATATCCTTGAAATTGACCTCCCCACGAGCCAGGATTCTGCCCTCACAGCGGTACGTCCCCTCATCCGTTTTCTTGATTCCCCGGATTTGCAGGAAGTTGTTGGGCAAGACTATAAATCGGACTAGAAGAGACAAAAGGAAGCTTCAGTCAAGAATCATTTAGAGGGAGCGCTGCAATGAATGGGCACTTCCCCACTCCCCTTACAGCTTGGAGACCGAGCTTAACGTAAGGCAACTTCCCTTTCCATCAGGGTAATGAAAGTCACCCCATAATCAGATCTGACATTGCCAGGAAAGACCCTCCAGGAGAGAGAAGAAGTGAGGTTTTTACCCACGAAAGCTTATGCCCAAATAAATCTGTTAGTCTTTAAGGTGCCACCAGACTCCTTGTTGTTTTCCTCCAGGAGAGAGTCCCTCACACAGCCAGCTAAGAGGCAGTGGGGACAAACCGCTGTGTTATTTTACAACCAGCACTTTTATTTTACTTTAAGTTTAATCAATACCTGGCTTGGGCCAATGAACCATTTACTACTTGTCTCCCTGGGGAGTGGAGTCTGGTCTTAAATAACAATAATACCTGGCTCTAATATAGCATTTTTCATCAGTAAATCTCAGAGCACTTCACAATCTTTTAGTGCATGTATCCTCACGCCACCGCTACAAGGTGGAGCAGGGCTATAGCCCCCTTTTCTAGATGGGGACCTGAGGCACAGGCAGGCTAAGTGACTTGCCCAAGGTCTCACAGGGAGGCTGTGGCAAAGCAGGAAACTAAACCCAGGTCTCTCAAGTCCTAGATTAGTGCTCTAACCACTGGCTGATCTGTAACTGCACTTCCTTGATACCTAGACTGACAGGGGCTGGGAAACGCTGCAGAGGCAACACTGCTCCCGGGCTCAGGGGAGACAGTGCTCTGGAGTGACATGAGCCCACAAAATCCACGGAGAGGCTCCAATGTGTGCTGCTCCGTGGCGCAGCGTAGGGGAAATGGGAGGGCTCTGGCCAGGACAGGTTAACCACTTGGCCTCTTTAAATCCAGACTGGATTTCTCTTTTAAAAACATACGCTCTATTTCAACTACAAGATGCTGTGTTTTAATGCGATTCCTGAGTGAGGTTCTCTGGGCTGTGTTATGGAGATCAGGCTGGATGATCATAATGGTCCCAGGAGGCCAGACCTAATGTGTGCCATTTTACCCCCACTGCTCTGCGTTCCTGTGCCTACTTGTCCTTTTGCCACCCTGGCAGACCTACACAAGGCCTCTGGAAGGGCAAGTGCCAAGAGCGCTCATTCCTTACCATCTTTTTTCAGGACAACGTCCCTGTCCTTATGCTTCCACATAATGGTGGGAGGCAGCGAGCTGAGCACATCACACACAATCACCGCATCTTCCCCCTCCTGGAACTCCTGAGGGGTGGGAGCATTCCTGAACATCAGCTTCTCTGAAAACAAGGAGAGCGACAGGACAATGGAGCTGCTGCCCCAGCGCGTTGTGGGCACCGTCTGAATTGCAAGGCACGTTGCCAACTAAAAGCACAGATGAAACGATACACATGCACGAACCCACCTGGGATGCTCACGCCATAGCAACGTATGTAGCTTGGCATTGGCATCCCGCATGATGGTACGGGAACCCTGTGCTGGTTACACACCAAGAGGCGGCTGGATTCACAAGAGTGTCCATATTTGGACGTTGTGTTATGGGAAAGCCAAACGCAAAACCTCCCAGCTGGTAGGGAAGGAACAGCTATGATAGCGTTGCCAGCTGAGGGCTACTATGGGCCTCCTGAATGTAGGATCCCACTGCACTGTAAGTGGCCCCTGTGGGGTTGTGCTGAGCCCTGACCCTGCCTCATCCCAACCCTGCCTGTTCCACACCAAGCACACCATTCCACGCTCATCTCCCAGACATTCATGTCACACTGGGCTCTACCTTCGCTCCTCACTATCTTGCACCAAAGATTTTAGTGGGGTCTCCAGCAGGGGTGAAGGACCCTTTCTAAGTTCCAAGCACATTCTGCAAACTGCAAAAACCATGGGATTGCCCAGCTCTGAGATTGGAGATACTGGCTGTTCTGTTTCTACCCAGGTCTCAGAGCACAGGGCCTGAGGGCAGAGGCTCCAGAAGTGGCTACCACAACCTTTGTTGTGGCCAGGGACTGCTAGAGCAGGCTGTCTCCTCGGCTTTCTTGCTGTGCAGAGAGACCATGGGTAACAAGAGGTGAGCAAAGCAGTTATGCTAGTAACAGACATCACAGCCAATCAACCCCTTGCTTTATCTGTCGCACACCATTAAGCAGGCCAATGCAGGATCGCTGAGTGGCTTGACCAAAGGGTGTGTTAGGAATGGTCTTCCTGCCCCTGAACCATTCAGCTTAGCCTGTGGATCCCTTTGCTTGGCTCCTGACAGCCGTACGGACCAGGGACCATTCACACAGCCAGAAGTAACCCTCAGGCTGAGCTCTCGGTCTCTCCGCTAACAGCGTGTGGGTGACACCAGGAGGGTCTGGTTTGGATGGAGGAGCATGAATTAGATGGGGAAGGGCAGCAAATGAGGAACGTGGCTCTGAGGCCAACCTGACAAATCACAGGGTTAACTGAGAGGAAATATGGAAGTTGCTCACGGCTAACCGGCCAGCTTGTGACACAATGGCTTTTCAATGCTTCTATTTCTCTCAGTAACTCTGACGACAGAGATGGTGGGGAGTCAGTCAGACAAATACCATGATTACCTCCTTCTCATTTCCCTTTGTGGGACAAACTCTCCTATTCCCATATCCTTCACAGACCAGCCCTACCCCTAGCTTCTCATGGGTGAGCATCTCCTCACAGGCAAGGTTGCCCACCACTTTCCAGTCTCCTGTTCATGTCCCTCCCCACCCTCCTTCACAGTCAACACTCTCCCCTCACTGCTAAGGGAGGAATGGGCTCCATTTTGACAGCCTTCCCCTTCCCAGTCTGTTTGGGAGGTGGCTCCCCTTCCTGGCCACCCGTCACTAATGAGAGCCACACCTCCCCAGCAAGTCCCTGGGCCTCCCCTCACAAGAGCCCGACCCCAAAGCAGGCTCCCAGAGCTGTGCTCTTACGGAAGATTTTCACATTGACGGTGGCCTCAGAGTCGCCCTCCTCCTCACTGGTGACAACACACTTGTAGATGCCGGCGTCGTCGATGTTGGCGCTGTAAATGGTGAGGGTGGAGGAGAAGTCATCGTTCCGCACCACCGAGATGCGCTGCTGGTTGGGCGTCAGCTTCTCGCCGTTGGGGGAGAACCAGGAAATGTCTTTGGCTTTGGCTTCCCCAGTCACTAGAGATGAAACAAAGCACATTGGACCTGCTCCCTCTCAGCCAGCCAGGGCCCTGAGGGCCATCACCTGCAGGGTTGTGGGAAGGGCCCAGACCAGGCAAAGGATTTCTGATGCCCAGGCAGTGTGGGGCCTGCTTATTGAGCTGGGTTTGTGAGAGTGCCTCCCCACCTGAGGGAGCACGTTTAAGCCCCCTTGGATTTGTTGACAAGCCCCGATGCCAGAGAGCTAATCCCAGCAGTGGCTCACACATTATACACCATGTTCTGGCTCCACCGGGGACAGCTCCCCACCCTCACAGAAAGACATCCATTAGCTGCTGCCCCATGCAGCCAAGAGGAGCAGCTGCCCATTTCAGGCTTGGAATGGCCTCATATACATCCCTGCGGTCTTCTCCCCTCACCCCGCTCAGCATGGAAACAGCACTCCTCCCGCTCCAATAAATATCCCTGTTTGCAGGTTGTGCTGGGGCATCGCATTGCACACCAAGCTGGTTAAATTGCTTTACCAGCACATCAGGCAAGTTAAACCTGCCACTGCATCCGATGCAAATCAAAGCGGCTTGTAAGGACCCATCTCTTGGAGCTCACGTTTCAGGGTTTCCCCATGTGGCTTTGTTATTTGTTCAGAGGAAATTTGTCACAGAGGAAATTTAACGAATCCTATTTGCTGAGGCCAAGGTGGAGACATCACAATAGCACTTACTCGGGCACTTTTGCCTTCAAAGCACTTTACACCCATTAACAAATGACTCTGCGCTGAGCTAGCTTGGGTCCCACAGCCTCCTCCCTCGCCCTAATGAGGAGATGCTTGAGGAAGTCAGACCCGCCACACTGGAACTTGGCTCCAAGCCATGTTTTAATGTTTGCTCAGTGTCATGCTCTGGTTTAGGGGTGACCTGGGATCATTTGTTGTCATGCCAGTGTTGCACCCCGGTAACTAATTCACCCCGGCAAACCAGGCCAGTTGCTTTACAGGGAAACCTGTAGCCAGTAGCATGCGTGTGTGCTGAAATGGGGCGTGCTGCAGTAACTGTGCGGCACCACACGGGATGCATGCATTGCCTGGGGTTCACAGTGGACACTGAATACTGCTTCTTTCACCCAGCTGGTTGGAGCAAGTGGCAGGAATGGTGGTATTAAAAATGCAGGATTCCCATTGCATTAAAATCCTCGGGGGCTGAGGTGGAGATTTTCAAAGCTGCCCAAGGGGCTTGGAATCCAAGCTCCCATTCAAGCTGTTGGAAATTGGGTATCAGAATCCCCCAGAGTGGAGTGGGTTCCCCAAAAGTGACTCCACAAACACGGATGGGAAAGGCTGACAGCAGCAGCAGCCAGCACTCACCTTGACATAAGAAGAATTTGGATTCTCCAACGCTGATCTCCACCTGACTCGGAACAATATCCACTTGTAGAGACACTGGGAAAGAGCGCAAAGCAGGAGTTAGGCAACTGGAGTCATCCGGCAGAAAAGTGCCCTGCTGCTTGGGACTCAGGTCAGCTCAGCAATGGAAAGGCAAGAGCTCTTAACTCCAGTTCCAATGCTCCGGACCAGTATTTGACTATACACAAGCCTTCCATCCCTAAGGATCTCAAAGAGCCTGTACCAATATGAGCCACTTCCACCTCTTCCTGTGCCTACACAGAAAGGCATGGAAGGAGCTGCGTTACCTGGTGATCTGTTGAACACCAAGTTATGTGCTGCACGTCATGCTCGGAGGTGGACTGGAGAGGGCAGTAATACGATCACACCATTTGGGCACCCTATTATTTATGGTTATTAATCACTTGGAAGGCATCGTGGAGGGAAGGGGCTGAATGAAAAGAAGGGGGCAGCTTAGTGGGCCTGAAATGGGAGGGTGTTGAGTGCATAAAGGGCAAAGCAGAGAAAGGAACAGAGCTGGCGGTGGGAGAAGAGAATCCCAATTTGAGTCTGGCAGTGAAGTAACACGCGTCAGGCTGTTCAGCTGCTGAAGTATATACTGACTCTCTGCTTTCCCTACACACTCAAGGTTTGTGTGCTGCTTCGCTTCACAGCTGCTCTCACCCTGCCATGTGTTTGCCTCACATTTACATATAGAATTATTGCCATAACACATACGTATCAGTGCTTGTGTCAATCAAAACAGCGATTGCACTGTCCAAGATCTGGGTGTGAGATTCTCAGCATCACTACGGTATTTTCCTTTAAAGTTTGCAGGCATCATGTGTTGAGCATTGGCAGACAGCAATGACACATTGTTCCTGTGACTTGTGTCAAGGTCTTGCAGCTCAGCAGAGGACAGTCCCTATCCTGGGAGACTACTAATAGTCCCTCTTCCTCAAAATAGGGCAAAGCTACTGGAAGCGGAGCAAGCACTGTGACAAGCAGAGCAGCATTCAGAGAAGTCATTTAGGCCTCTTCATTTTTGCATTGTCTTTGCTCTCTGTGTTGCAGAAGCACAGTTAGTATCTGAATGATCTAGGATTGGCTTCACTGGCAGGCTCTGGCTGCTTTGCACTGCCCTGGCAGCTATAAACCCCATTTAAATGGCCCGTTAAACCAGGTTAACAGCTGCTCTGTGTCACCAGAGCAGTGCAACACAGCCAGAGGAAAGTACCACTGCATCTGGCCCTTTGAGTCCCAAGAGAATTGTTTTAAAAATAATCCAGGCACGATAGTAAACAGGCTGGATCAGGAGTCCAGAGAGAACACTGAGGACCCTTTGGCTGTGGGAGATGAAAACGGTCCTTAGGACTACAGAGCTCCAGCCCCTTAAAACCTCCTCTTGGAAAACTCCATTTCACTCACATGTCTTGTCTGGAGGTTACTGTCGCTCCTTCCTGTTTTCAATAAAGTACAGGCTGCCCTTTTAGCTCTTACATTCAGCCCGTTTTCTTTCTGTGTAATCTAATTTCTCTCAACCATATTACTTTAATATAATTCACTCCCAGACAGAACTGCAGGTACAAAAGGCCAAACATAATAAACGGCTAAAGGTTTATTAGATCCAGTGCAGCGAGAACTAAATAGCCTAGTTCTACAGGCTGTGTTTTCCTTCTATTAATCCTCCTGCCATTGTGCAGTTTACACTGTGCATCGTGTATGGAGTAGCTCCTCCTCGGCGGGTCACTGCTCTGTGATGCAGGTACAAGAGGTATTAAAAGAGTTCTTACACTTTGAAACCCAGGCCACCAAAACCCATAGCACCATGTGTCTGCAGCACAGCTCTGCCTGCTTACAGGGGGATTAGCATTCTGCTTCAGAACAGAACTAGACAGAGAGGGGACACCATCAAAACTCAAGGCATGTCAGTCTGCAGCAACTGCAGGATTGTCAAAGTATGGGAAGATGCTACAATGATGCATTTATATGGGGGCTGAGTTTTAATGGTTCCTAGGATAAATGGGCCCAACTCTGAGAGGGGAGCCGAGTTTTTATAAACTAAATAAAAGCCCCCGATTAGAGCCTTTATAAGCTGTTTTCAATTCGATCCATTTAATCCATCTTGGATGCCATTTTGTCTCCTGATTTTGAATGATGGCTCCAAATTTAGAATTGGACTGTCTAGACCAATAAGTCCTTAGTATGGCCCAAGTGCTAACAACTTACTAAGCAGTGTTCAGGAATCTCTGAGTGAGCAGTTTGCTGTGTATTTCTGTGTTTCACAAACAAGTTCAGAGGCTTCGGTAATCACCAACATAAACCAATCCTAGGTAAATATTCAGTCTATAGCTATTCTGAACTAGGCAAAGTCTGAAATAGAGACATAGGCTAACAGTTACAATGGTAAGAGCCTAAAGATTGGCTTCTAAATTGCATTTAGAAACCTAAAAAAGAACCAGGTTTTCAAAAGCACCCAACAGCTTTGATTGAAGGCATCTGGAGCTGCTGGGTGCTCGGCACTTTTGAAAAGCAGGTCACTTAAATAAAGATTTAGGAGCTTAAATTTAGGTTCCTATGACAGAAAATCCAGATTTAAAAAAAAAAATGGATTAATATTTAACAAAGCAAAGAGAAGCAACTGATCAGTAATGTCAACAAACCAAAACAAAAAGGGGGAAATTATATATACTGAAATAATCCTGCTTGGGTCCAGTAAGGCGAAGGTTGAGATGCAAATCAAGCAACGAAGGAAAGTCAGGGCCACAGTCGATTCCCCCATCCCAAACTTGCCCAGTCCTGCACCTCGCTATAATCTGAGGCTAGGTCTACACTACCCGCCTGAATTGGCGGGTAGAAATCGATCTCTCAGGGATCGAATTATCACGTCTCGTCGGGACGCGACAATCGATCCCCGAATCGACGCTCTTACTCCACCAGTGGAGGTAGGAGTAAGCGCCGTCGAAGGGGAGCCGTGGAGGTCGATTTTGCCGCCGTCCTCACAGTGGGGTAAGTCGGCTCCGATACGTCAAATTCAGCTACGCTATTCGCGTAGCTGAATTTGCGTATCTTAAATCGACCCCACCCCGTAGTGAAGACCTGCCCTCAGCAAGGCTCCGAGTTTCTGCCCATTTTCTGGCTTCTGTCTGATTTGTGTTACACTTGCAGCACCATCATACGAACAAGAGACAAGATCCTAACTCGCCCTTTCCTCTGCATCCCCAATCAAGCAGCAGTCGGTGCTGGACGCCCCGGGAGACAAATGCCCTTTCTCCCAGCACCCTGAATCTCAGAGCACCGTTCCTTCATGGTGTAAGTTATGAGGCATTAGAAATAACTGGACACTCGCTCTCTGCCAGCTGGAGCCTGATATGCTGCCTCAGAGTCCTGGCCTAACAAGACCAGGTCAAATAAGAATTTCAGGAGGCCAGACTTAATGTGTGTTGTTTTTAAATCGCAGCCATTAGTTTGCAGAAAACAATCATCGTAATCGAGCTATTCCTCCATCCTGCGTTGCCAGAGCATTTCTCATCCCGTCGACTGCAAATGCTTTATCTGTCACCTTTAGTCTTTTGGTGCCACGGTATTTGTGGCCTTCTCCCAGGGGCTGCTCACTTTACTGTTAAACCATGAAGACATTAGTCTCAGCTGCCTGCTCTTTCGAAGTCTTTAAAACATTCCTCTCAAAGGAGTCGCCATATCTTCTAAATCAATGGCATCGTTCCTTATCGCGACCGAGGAAAAGGGCATGTGCTGCTGAATTACTCAATGACTGGACTACAGGCATTAAGCCCCAGAGCTCTTTGAACATACAGAACAGATGCAGGAGCTTTGTCATCATTCCAGTGTTCAAACAAATGACTAAAGAAGGGCAAGAAACCCAATACAAACCACAAATAACAATAATGGAGGTGGGTGACTATTCTCAAACATTGCAAACACTTAGCCCTCACTTTTCATCTGCAGAGGGCCTCGCTCACTCAGATGTAAATCCCACTGAAGCCAACAGAGTTTATTATAAAAACACAGTACAAAGATTTTAACAAAAATCCTGAAACATCCTCCATTTGTCACCCCGGTGCATGTAGTCCTTAAAATCCCACAGCATCTACTCCAGGTGAGCTGGTAATGGAAGATGATAGGAAGGCAGAGCTGCTCAATGCCTACTTTGCTTCAGTCTTCTCACAAAAACATGTGAGCAGACAACTAGCGAAGTTATCATAGACAATAAAGGGGAAGGGCTGCAGATCTGGATAAGAAAAGAAGACGTCAGAGATCTTCTGACCAAATCAGTGGGGCGGGATGCTATTCACCCCAGGGCACTGAAGAAGTTAACTGAGGAAACCTTGGAGCCACTGGCAATAATATTTACATACTTATGGATGACAGGAAAGGCCCTGGAAGACTGGAGAAGGGCTAACATAGTGCCCATCTTTAAAAAGGGGGGGAAAGGAGGAGCCAGGGAACTATAGACCAGACAGCCCGACTTCGATACCTGGGAAGCTACTAGAGCAATGTATAAAACATTCAATTTGTGAATACCTTGAGGATGAAGGCGGTGGACATAATATACCTGGACTTCAGCAAGACTTATGACACAGTCCCACATGACATTCTGATAAGTAAGCTGGAGAAACGCGGGCTCGACAGAACCACCATTAAGTGGACACATAATTGGTTAACAACTGCAAACAAAGAGTAACTATTAATGGAATGTCGGATTTGAGGGATGTCTCAAGTGGGGTTCCACCGGGATCTATTCTGGATCCAGTGTTGTTTAACATCTTTATTAATTACCTGGATGTAGGTATAGAGAGCAAGTTTGATTAAGTTTGCAGAGGACACAAAGCTGGGGAGGTTGCCAATACTTTGGAGGATAGAGCTAAACTTCAGAGAGCTCTTAATAAATTGGAGAACTGGACTATAGACAACAAAATGAAATTCAACAAAGCCAAATGTAAAGTGCTACACTTAGGGAAGAAAAACCAAACGCAAAAATACAGAACGGGGGGAAACTGGCTTGGCAACAGCACTGCTGGGAAGGATCTGGGAGTCGT